TCATCTCTTTAAATTCCTTATTATAAGATGTTTTATGTAAGTCTCATGGTGACCACAATGCAAAAAACCTGTAATAGATTCACCAAAATTAAAAAGCAATGAATTAAAACATACTACCAGAGAAAATAATCACAAAGGAAGACATTAAAAAAGGAAGAGAGGAATTACAAAAAAGAGAGGAGCAACAAAATGGTAATAGTAAGTCCCTAAATATTAATAGTAACAATGTAAATGAACTCAATTCTCCAATTAAAAGGCAAAGAGTGGCTGACCAGATAAAGAAACAAGGCTCAGTGATATGATGCCTACCAGAAACTTGCTGTATTTATAAAGAAACACAAAGACTGAAAGTGAAGGGGTGGACAAGATATTTCATACAACCGGAAATCAAAATAGAACAAGAATAGTTATATCAGATACAATAAACTACAAATCAAAGACTATAGAAAGAGACAAAGAAGGTCATTATATAATGAGAAAGGTCATCTTAGCAAGAGGATATAACAATTATAAGTATTTATATATGACACTGGAGCTCCTAAATATACATGCAAACATTAATAGCTCTAAAGGGAAAGATGGACTGCAATACAATAATAGCAGGGGGCCAGGTGTGATGGCTTATGCCTGCAGTCCCAACATGTTGGGAGGCCAGGGCAGGAGGACTTCTTGAAGCCAGGAGTTCAAGACCAGCCTGGGCAACATAACAAGGTCCTGTCTCTAGTAAAAAATTTAAAAAATTAGCAATATGTGGTAGCATCCACCTGTAATCCCCAGCTACTTAAGAAACTGAGGCAGGATGATCACTGGAACCCACAATGTTGAAGCTGCAGAGACCTATATCATACCATTGTGCATGGGTGACAGAGTGAAACACTTTCTCTAAAAAGAAAAAATAGTAGGGAGCTTTAACACTCTATTCTCAGTAACAGACAGATCATTCAGAGAGAAAACCAACTAAGAAACATCAGAGTTAAACTATACATGAAGCCTAACTAACAAAACACTTCACCTCACTGAAGCAGAATACACATTCTTTTCATCAGCACATGGAACATTCTCCAGAAGACAGTATATCTTAGGCCACAAAACAACTCTGAACAAATTCAGAAAAAAAGAAATTATCAAGTATCTTTTCTGACCACAATGTAATAAAACTAAAAATCAACAACAAGAGGAAACTCAGAAACTTTACAAACACATGGAAATTAAACAATATGCTCTGAAATGACCAAAGGATCAATGAAGAAATTATGTAGAAAAAATTTTAAAATTTCTTGAAATAAAATGGAAATGAAACATAACAAAATCTATAGGATACAACAAAAGCAGTATTAAAAGGGAAGTTTATAGCAATAAATGCCTATATCCAGAAAGTAGAAAGACTTCAAATAAACAACCTAATGATACATCTTAAGGGACTAGAAAAGCTGAAAGAAATCAAACCCAAAATTAGTATAAGGAAACAACAAAGAATAGAGTAGAAATAAATAAAATTGAAACTTAAAAAACAATACAGAAGACCAATGAAACAAAAAATTGATTTTGTAAAAGATAAACAAAATTGACAAATCTTTAACTAGACTAAGAATAAAAAGAAAGAAGACCCAAATGAACAAGATCAGAAATGAAAAGATGTTAACAACTGAGACCAAAGAAATAGAATCATTAGAGACTATTATAAACTATATGCCAACAAATTGAAAAACCTACAAGAAATGGGTAAATTCTTACACATATAAAACCTACCAATATTGAACCATGAAGAAATACAAAACCTCAACAAACAAACAACAAGTAACACGATTGAAGCTGTAATCAAAAGTCTCCCATCAAAGAAAAAGGTGGAACCTTATTGCTTTATTGATGATTCTACCAAACATTTAAGAACGAACTAATATCAGTTCTACTGAAACTCTTCACAAACATTGAAGAGGAGGGAATATACCAAACTCTTTTTATGAGGCCAGCATTACGCTTATACCAAAAACAGATAAGGATACAACAAAATAAGAAAACTACAGGCCGATATCACTGATGAACATAGATGCAAAAATCCTCAACAAAACAGTAGGAAACCGAATTCACCAACATATTAAAAAGATCATTCCCCATGATTAAGTGAGATTCATGCCAGGAATGCAAAGATGGTTCAACAAATCAATAAACCTGATAATTTACAGAACTAATACAAAAACCCTACAATTATTTCAACAGATAACAAAAAAAGCATTTGATAAAATTCAACATCCCTTTATGATAAAACCCTCATCAAAGAGTATAAAAGGAACATACCTCAAAATAATAAAAGCCATATGTGACAAACTCCCATCTAATACTGCACTCAAAGGGGAAATATTGAAGGACAAACTAATACCAGTTCTTTCCGCTAAGATCTGAAACAAGACAAGGATATCGACTTTCACCACTTTTATACCACTTAATCTTTAAAGTCCTGGCCAAAGCAATTAGGTGAGAAAAATAAAAGGACACACATTCAAGTTGGAAAAGAAGTCAAATTGGTCTTGTTTGCAGACAACATGATCTTATACTCAGAAAAACCTACAGACTCCACCAAAAAATTATTACAACAGATAAACAAATTCAGCAGAATTGCAGAATACAAAGTCAACATACAAAAATTAGTAGCCTTTAAAACACCTAAAGCGAACAAGCTGAAAAAGAAATCAAGAATGCAATCCCATTTATAATAGCTACAAAGAATATAAAATCCTGGGAATCAACTTAATCAAAGAACTGAAAGATCTCTGTTGAAAACTATATAACACTGATGAAAGATATTGAAGAAGACACCAAAAAATGGAAAGATATTCCATGTTTATCGATTAGAAGAATTAATCTTGTTAATATGTCCATACTGCCCTAAGCAATCTATAGAGTCAATGCAATCTCCATCAAAATACCAATAACATTCTTCACAAAAGCAGAAAAAGAAATCTTAACATTTATGTGGAACCAAAAAAGACCCCAAATAGCCAAATGAATGCTAGGCAAAAAGAATGAAGCTGGAGGTATCACACTACCTGACTTCAAAATTTACTACAGAGCTACAGTAACCAAATCAGCATGGTACCAGCATAAAGACAGACATATAAACCAATGGAACAGAATAAAGAACACAGATATAAATCCATGCATTTACAGCCAACTCATCTTTGACAAAAGTAACAAGAACATACCATGAGGAAAAGACAGTATTTTCAATAAATGCTGCTGGGGAAACTGGGTAACTATATGCAGAAGTGTGAAACTACATCACTCTCTCTTACCAAACACAAAAATCAAAGCAAAATGGATAAGAGACTTAAATCTAAGACCTCAAACTACTGGAGAAAAACTGCTAGAAGAAAACTCTGGGGAGATGCTCCAGGACACTTGTCAGGGTCAAGATTTTCTGTGTAGGATGTCAAAAACACAGGCCACAAAGCAAAAATAGACAAATGGGATTACATCAAGCTAAAGCTCTAGACAGCAAAGGAAACAATCAAAGCAAGGAGACAACCCACAGAATGGGAGAAAAATCTTTGTAAATTATCCATCTGACAAGGGAATAATAATTAGAATATTTGTGGAGCTCAAACAACTCAACAGCAAAAACCCAAAGAATCTGATTTTAAAATGGGCAAGAGATCTAAACACACCTTCCTAAAAACAAAACATACAAATGGCCAACAGGTAAGTGAGCAAATGCTCCCTGTTAGTAATCACAAGAAAAATGCAACTCGAAACCACAATAAGATACCACAATGAGATTCCATCTCACCCTAGTTAAAATGGCTTTTATCAAAAAGACAGGCAATAACAATGCTGGTGAGGATGCAAAGAAAGAGGAACCATCATACACCATTAAATAAGTATAACCATTACAGAGAATAGTATGGAAGTTCCTGAAAAAACTAGAAATAGAACTACCATATGGTCTAGCAATTCCGGGTATATATCCCAATGAAAGTAAACCAATATATCAAAGATATATCTTCACTTTCATGTTTATTGCGGCACTATTTACAATTGTCAAAATAATCAACCTAAGTGCTCATTAACAGATGAATGGATAAAGAAAATGTAGTATGTATACAAAATGGAATACTATTCAGCTGTAAAAAAGAAGGGAATACTGTCATTTGTAGCAATGTGGATGAAACTGGAGGCAATTATATTAAGAAACAATCCAAGCACTAAAAGATAAATATTGCTTGTTCTCACGCATATGTGGGAGCTAAAAAAAAAGTGGATCATGATCTAAAGAGCTAAAAAAGGTAGATACTGACAGGAAGAATCAATATCGTGAAAATGGCCACACTGCCGAAAGTAATTTATAGATGCAATGCTATCCCTGTCAAGCTATCATTGACTTTCTTCAGAACCAGAAAAAACTACTGTAAATTTCAGATGGAACCAAAAAAGAGCCTGCATAGCCAAGACAATCCTAAGCAAAAACAACAAAGCTGGAGGCAGCATGCTACCTGACTTCAAACTATACTACAAGGCTACAGTAAACAAAACAGCACAGTACTGGTACCAAAGCAGATATATAGACCAATGGAACAGAACAGAGGCCTCAGAAATAATGCCACACATCTACAACCATTTGCTCTTTGACAAACCTGACAAAAACAAGCAATGGGAAAGGGTTCCCTATTTAATACATGGTGTTAGGAAAACCGGCTAGCCATATGCACAAAACTAAAACTGGACCTCCTCCTTACACCTTATACAAAAATTAACTCAAGATGGATTAAAGACTTAAATATAAGACCTAAAACAATAAAAACCCTAGAAGAAAACCTAGGCAATATCATTCAGGACATAGGCATTGGCAAAGACTTAATGATTAAAACATGAAAAGCAACGGCAACAAAAGACAAAATTGACAAATGGGATCTAATTAAACTACAGAGCTTCTACATAGCAAAAGAAACTATCATCAGAGTGAACAGGCCACCTACAGAAGGGAGAAAATCCATCTGACAAAGGACTAATATCCAGAATCTACAAAGAACTTAAACAAATTTACAAGAAAAAAACAAACAACCTCATCAAAAGTGGGCAAAGGATATGAATAGACACTTCTCAAAAGAAGACATCTATGCAGCCAACAAACATGAAAAAAAGCTCATCATCACTGGTCATTAGAAAAATGCAAATCAAAATCACAATGAGATACCATCTCACACCAGTTAGAATGGCAATCATTAAAAAGTCAGGAAATAGCAGATGCTGGAGAGGATATGGAGAAATAGGAACACTTTTACACTGTTGGTAGGAGTGTAAATTAGTTCAACCATTGTGGAAGACAGTGTGGCAATTCCTCAAGGATGCAGAACCAGAAATACCATTTGACCCAGCAATCCCATTACTGGGTATACACCTAAAGGATTATAAATCATTCTACTATAAAGACACATGCACACATATGTTTATTGCAGCACCATTCACAATAGCAACGACCTGGAACCAACCCAAATGCCCATCAATGACAGACTAAAGAAAATGTGGCACATATACAACATGGAATACTATGCAGCCATAAAATACGATGAGTTCATGTCTTTTGCAGGGACATTGATGAAGCTGGAAACCATCATTTCAGCAAACTAACACAAGAACAGAAAACCAAACACCACATGTTCTCACTCATAAGTGGGAGCTGAACAGTAAGAACACATGAACACAGGGAGGGCAACATCACACACCAGGGTCTTTTGGGGGTAAGAGGATAGGGGAGGGATAGCATTAGAAGAAATACCTAATGTAGATGACAGGTTGATGGGTGCAGCAAACCACCATGGCATGTGTATATCTATGTAACAAACCTGCATGTTCTGTACATGTACCCAGAACTTAAAGTATAATTTTAAAAAAATGTGCTAGCAGTTTTCCACAGCAGTTGTAACACTTTACATTTATAACAGCAGAGTATGAGGGTTCTGCATCCTTAACATTTGGTATTTGTCAGGCTTTTTAACTTTAGCCATTCTAATGGGTGGTTGGAAGGTAATATCTGGCTGTGTTTGTAACTTGCATTTGCCTGATGACTAATCATATGGATTATCTTTTCATGTTTTTATTGGCCATTTGTGTATCTTTCATTTTATGAAGCTAATTGATTTTTAAGTTTATTTTTGAAAAGCAAGTATTACTTTCTTACATACAATGAAGTCTGTTTCTGAGCTTATTCCAATGTGTTTAAATTGTTGTTCTACAAAACATGACTGTTTCTGAGCTTATTCCAATGTGTTTAAATTGTTGTTCTACAAAACATGATACAGGTGGCCCTCAATATTCATGGGTTTCCCATCCATGGATTCAATCAACAGCAGACTGAAAATATTAGGGAAAAATATTACATCTGTACTGAACGTGTACAGACATTTTCCCTTGTCACTGCTCCTTATGCAATACAGTACAACAACTATTTATACTGCACTGAGTATTATAAGTAATCTATACATAATTTAAAGTATATGGGAGGATGGGCATAGATTACATACAGATGCTACACCATTTTATATAGGCAACTTGAGCATCCATGAATTTGCTATCCATGGGAGGTCCTGGAACCAATCCCCAACAGAAAGCAAGAGACAGCTCTATTTGGTAATGCTATTTTCTCCTAATTATTGTTCATTGAAAGTTGTCTTAGTTTTTAATCACACATTTATTCTTCCAAATAAATTTACTGTTCTATTTCCCCCCCAAAAAAAACATGAGGAGTGGCTGATGTTTGGCACAGTGAATCTATTAATTTGAGAAGCATTCACACCTTTATTCTGTTATCCTATTAAGAATCATCATGGTATGAAGTTTCATTTAAATATTATTTTATATCTTTCAATAAAATGTTATAATTTTCTTTATTTGCCTGCTATATTTTCTTTCATTAAAATGGTTAATATTATAGTAAATGAGGCATTTTCACTATATTTGCTAATTTATCATATTATTCAAAGTCACTAACTTTTTTATCCAACCTCAACTTTCATATTAATTCATACCTATTCTTATTAATTCCAATAGTTTATAATTTTCTTTTTGGTTTCTAGGTATAACAAATCTGCCTTCAAATAATGGGTACTGTATCTCCTTTTTTCCAAAAGCCCTGCTTCTAATTTCTGCTTTGTTTTGTTATATTGTCTAGAGCTTGGCAAAATAAATGGTAACTAATGGTGCTGTATCAGTAAGCCTCTTTGTTTTATCCTATTTTCACAGAAATGTCTCCACCATTTCATAATACAGTATGATATTGGATATTGGTTTGGATAGAAATTCTTCTTTAACTGAAGAAGTCTTCATCCAAACTATTAAATACTTCACAAAGAATGAATACAGAGTTTTATCAAACTCTTTTGTGGCATAAAGATGACCATGGAGTTTTTCATTTTTAACCTAATATTCACTCACTTTTAAAATTTAATGTACAACTTATGTTAAGAAATGTCCTTTTAATATCCTATTGAATCTGATTTGCTAGAATTTTATATTGGCTTTTCCCATCCATTTTAATGACTGAACTAGGTCTATATTACTACTTTTTGATACTTTATCAAATTTGAGATTGAGATAAAATGAACTAGATAGTTTTGTATATGTATATGGATATATTATAAAATAGTTTGATATAGAAAATTACTTCCTAGAAAGCTTACAAGAATGTGTCCATGAAACCACTTAGGTTGTTTTATGTTTTTGAGAGACAGAGAGAGAGACAGCAGGGGGCGGCGGGGGAGAGGGAGTGGATGGGTTTCTAAATCTCACTATTAAAGAAAAAATGGAAAAGGTTATTTAACTATTCAAGTCATTGTTTATTCAGAAAGTACTGAGTACCTCTCTGTGTGCTAGGTAAGAATGAGCAAAAGAGCCATCAATTCTACCATCAAAGAAACTATGGTCTACTTGGGGAGAAAGAGACATAAATACACAGAAATAATTGTTAACAATGTTAAATATGAAGACAATGTTTAAGGGTTATGACAGCAGATGGCTCAGACACCCAAACCTAGTCTGTGAAGAGTAAGGGTCAGTTTCTCCATGACATGAAATTTGAATAGAAATCTAAGGATTAATAGAAATTAAGTGTTCAAAACAGCCAAAACAAACAGGATGTGCAAAGGTCCTGATGCACCTTCATCTTTTAATGAACAAGACGTAAAGCCCAGAACTATGACAACTATTCTGGACCACATATTAATTCTTCACCTATGCCTTCTCTGGTTCTCCTACTTCTTGTTTATTCTGTACCTAATCATCAATATTACATACTTCAGATTCATGTTTCTGGGTGACATTCAACAACCATGTCACTATTTCCCTTTTTCAAGGTTGATAAACATGATGATGATGACTATCATTTATTGAGTATTTACTATACACCAGGCACTGTTCTAAGAACTTCACATGAATCTATTTAATCCTCACTGAAATTCTGGGTAATAGATTCTAATCCCTCTTTTATAATGATGTAACTGAGACAAGAGAAGTTAGGTAACTGGTCCTAGGTCACACAGTTACTAAATGGAATTAAAATGTACAGACTGGTCATACTTGTTAGCTTCACTCCAGAGAGTAAACTGCACTGCCTCTTATTAATAAAAAGTAATTACCCTTTCTTCTCTTGAACTGAATCAGGCTAAAGACTGGGCTGAGTTACCCCTAAAGGAAGAAGGCCCTGAAAACTAATTTAAAACAAGCAAAATATGTATCCCAAATAATAGTTATCAACCAAATAGCTTTTAGAATTATTAATTCATAATTCTATTTGAATTTTATCTACATAAATGGCTTGCATAATTTCTGTTCTTACTCATTTAGTGGCACACTTTTATCCTAACAGAAGGTCAGTTCTGGTAACTCTTTTAGAGATATCTAAAGTATATGCTATGTTTTCTGAGAATAATGCTTAATATAGAAAAGAGTCAGCATAATTATATAATTTCCTATGCACCATTTCTTATCTACTTGCTGTATTATGTACATAGAGTGGTGTGCTAATACTTCTCAAAAGGGGAAGCAGTAAATAACATGATGGTTCAGTGTGCCAGCTCTGAAATCGGATTGCCTGTTGCTCTCTTCTCATACTAATGTATATATTTAGCTCCTTAACAACTCACCTCACCAAATATTATTGTTAAAGGTCTTAGCCATAAAGGCCTATCATAGTTAATTATCCCTAAAGAAGAATACAGGCATCAGCTAAATCAAACAGAGCAGAAACTCCCCAAAAGGACTAATCTTCACTATGTAAGGGGTAGCTCTATGTTTTCTCTTTAAAACATGCAGCTGCCCACAGGCAAACTAAACCAAACCGACTACTCCAATAGCAGCATACCTTCACATTCTGTTTTTCCAAGTTATGTTCATTGTAATTGCTTGTATGCCGATCTGTGATTATGCAATATTTAAATATTATGAAATATAAGTACAAAAAAGGGTATTTCTATGAAAACATATAAATGTTTTGGTAAAACACTGAAAGCTTTGGAAGGATAAATCTCAAAATGTTAGAAAAGAAAAATTGTTATAAAAAATAAAAATCGGCCAGGCGTGGTGGCTCACGCCTGTAATCCAGCACTTTGGGAGGTTGAGGTGGGCAGATCACAAGGTCAGGAGTTCGAGACTAGCCTGACCAACATGGTGAAACCTCATCTCTACTAAAAATACAAAAATTAGCCAGGTGTGGTGGTACACTCATGTAATCCCAGCTACTCAGGAAGCTGAGGCAGGATAATCGTTTGAACCCAGGAGGTAGAGGTTGCAGTAAGCCAAGATTGTGCCACTGCACTCCAGCCTGAACAACAGAGTAAGACTCTGTCTCAAAAAAAAAAAACAATTGTAAAAATCAAGTAGAATTCCATATACAGTTTGCTAAGCTCTTATTGTACTTTATAAAAACTGGAATTGGAAATAGTAGATAAGCATTATAGGTTGTTTATGCAAGAAAGATGATAGCAGTCTCCAGTCAGTATATGCTTTAAGTTAAAAATCAAATGCTCATGAAAATTTG